TTCTTATAGCTGAAGTAAAGAAGACTTCAAACGAGACAAACGATTTAAAAATTATTTTAAATTTGCAAGTTATTTAAATTTTAATTTTTGAAAATAATTTAATAAAATTGTTTATATTTATTAATTATTATTCTCATATTAATATATAAATATATATATTATAATTAATACATAATTGTGTTTCATAGCCAATATTAATATTATATTAATTAATGGTAATAAATTAATGATAATATATTTTAATTATTATTTTTTGATGTATATTTTATAATTTGATATAAAAAATTTTTAAGTATTTTTAAATGACAAAAATATTCAAGGTGATTGAAGTTATTATTCTATTCTGTATATTTTAATTTATTTCGATATATTTAATATTTAGGATATTCCGTAATGATATCGAATAGAAAATAATTTTATAAAAAAAAATATCGAAAAAAATTTTGTCATTTTAGGCATTTAGGCTTCGTTTTCGAGTAAAATAAATTTTATAAATTTTATAAATAATTTTATAAATAAACAGGAGGATTAAATTCGAATGAACTACCAATAATTATTCTACATGTGAAAATAAGCAGAAGTATAGAATAAAATTTTATATCTTATAATTTTATATTTTTTTTTCAAAAAATTGAGATTGAACATATACAATCAAAGTCATATAATTAGCGAATTTTTAAATTAAATTTTCTTGAAAATTAATTTTTGAATAAAACAAATTTAAAACAAAATAAAATTTAAAATAAAAATAAAACAAATATTGTAGAATACATATTGTAGAAACATATTGTAGAATATATGAACCAGTTATAAGATCCTTTACATTTTATTATATCATGTAATATATCAAAAAAAGATTATTATTTGAATTTTTGAATTTTTAAACTTAGTTTATTTATAAAATCAAAAGAAAGAATATTTAACATAAAAATAATATTTATGCTCGGATTATTCTCATATTTTTTAAACAATTGAAATCTTTTGCTTTTTTTCACGGCTTTTAATACATAATTTATTTTTACTTAATTGTCAAAGAATATCGAAATTATAATATATCTATATCTTATCAAAATAATAATATTATTAATATATTACTATATCAATAAATATTTTACAAATTAAATTTAAAAAATTTTTTAGAAATGTATATATTATAATATTATTACTTCTAATAAATTAATGAATTTTAGTTTTGATAAAATTTTGAAAATTCTTGCTTGTTTAAATAATTAAAATCACAGTATCTTCAAAATATGAAGAATTTAATTTATTAAACTATTATTTTTTAGACACATATAGAAAATTTAAGATTATTTATAGATATAAGAATACAAACATAAAATATTAAAAAAATATATTTTTGTGTTAAAATATTAAAATAATTTATAAAATATTAAATATATTTTAATTGTCATTATACCAAAATGAACTAATTAATATAAAGAATTTAAATTCTTTTTTTATGATAGATAATTAAACATCATGTTATTAGCTACGTGGCTAATACCGGATATTATTGCTATTGCAAGTCTTATCATTGTTGGATTGTATTTATATTATAAATTATATCTTTTTAAATTTTGGCATAAAAAAGGAATATTTTATGTTAAACCTAGTTTTCCAACTGGAAATATAATGCCAATAATAACTGGTAAAATATCATTAGGTAAGCATATATTATTTAAAAATTAAATTTAAAAATTTATTTTATTTTATTTAAAAATTATATTAATCATTTTATTTTTAAATAATAATTTGAAGAAAATTCTTATATAAATTTTTTTTAAATGTATATATAAGAAATTTCATGCTTTTTTAAAATTATTAATATTTAAAAACTATTTAAATATTTAAAAACTATTAATAACTTTAAAAATTATTAATAACTATTAATTATATGTATTGCGATTTATTATTGAATTTTTTAAATTATATTGATCAATATTTGAAATTATTTGAAAAAACAATTATGAAAACATTATGATAATTGATCGATTTTCTAAACTTAAATAAAATTGTACAAGAATTAAAACGATAAGTAATAATTATTACTTTATTTAACTATTTACTAAATATTTATTAAGTAATATTTTATTTTATATATTAACTCATAATTACATTGATTAACGAATCTTTATATGTATGTATTATATAAATACCTATTAATATTCCATTAATAATTAATATATTGTATTTCTATTTTTGAAATAGGATTAGGCAATTGAAGAAAAAAATAATTTATATAATCAAATATAATTAATTATATTTATAATTAATTATATTTGAAAAATAATATTGTATTTATAATTAATAATTTAATAATTTTATAATAATATTTTTATATAAGTATTAGCATTTAATATTATTTGAAGTATTTTATTTATTTATTGAAATCTCATAAAAAATTAATAAATCAAGTTAAGTCTGAACTTATTATTAGATTTTTCTAAAAATTAAAATTTTAGATATATTCAAAATATTTAAAATTATTCTACAATATTATCAAATATTTTTCAATATTAAAACAATTAAAATAATAATTAAATTACTTTTACATAAAAGAATTCTATAAAAATAAAGTTATTCAAATATTTAATTGTAAGAAACACAAGTTATTCCTTTTGAAGTTCTAAAAATCAAAGAAAGTGAATTATCATAATCTGTAATTAATATAAAATAATGTAATCTAATTTACATAATTTATAATTAATTATATACATATTATTTATAAAATTTTTAATTTTAATTTTTATAGCCGAGTTCTTTAGAGATATTTACGAACATAATAAAGATCATCCTCTCGTTGGCATATATATGTTTTATAAACCTTTTTTGATTGTGAATGATCCTAATTTAATTCAAGATATATTGACAAAAGAGTTTACAAGTTTTCATGATCGTGGAATATTTTGTAATGAAAAAATAGATCCATTATCTGGACATCTATTTCAATTACCGGGGAAAAAATGGAGAAATTTAAGGGTAAAATTGACACCAACTTTTACTTCAGGAAAAATTAAACAAATTTTTCCGATTTTAAAAGAAGCTGGAAATATCCTTGCAAAATATTTAGAAGAAGAAGCACTGAAAGGATCAACAATCGATGTGAAAGATATATTTGCAAGGTAAGTAATAGAGCTAATAAGCTAAATGAACTAAGTAAGAAGATAAATAAGAAAACAGAATTTTTTTCATTTTCTTTATATATAATAAAATTTTAATATAATTCTTATGATATAACTGAGATATTCTTGAAATATATTATGATAAATAGAATATTGTTCTATTCTATATAATTTGAAATGAATATCTTTTTTTTCAAGATCACTCTTGATTTCTCAAAATAATTGATCTTTTCTTATTTAACATGAGAATTTTGTTTTATTTAAAATAAAAAATCTATTTAACAAACATTTGATAACATTTAATACGATCAAAATATTTAATACGATTAATATATGTAATGATTTAAAGATATTTTTTAATTTTTTTATCTTAAATTTGTAAAAAATTAAATATATTATTTTTAATATTTTACTAAATATATTTCTACATTTATTATTTTTTTCTAAACAAATTGTTAAAAAATGAAATAAATATTAATTAAAATATAAAACGAAATTTTTATTGCATTTAAACATTTTAACACTAAGAAATTATAATAATAATTCTATTTCTAATTTTTCATATATATTTTTAGATTTGTTTACATTCTATAATTTTTTCCAGATATTCGACTGACATTATCATGTCAGTGGCATTTGGAATATCATGTGACAGTTTTAAAGAACCAAATAATGAATTTCGATATTGGGGAAAGAAAATATTCGATCCAAAACCTTTTTGGAATGCTCTTATTTTATTTGCTCCACAAGTCCTTGATTTTTTTTCAATACCATATACCGAAAAAAGTATTATAAATTTTTTTACAAATATGTTTAAACAAACTGTGGAATATAGAGAATCGAATAACATCGAAAGAAAAGATTTTCTGAATTTATTAATTCAATTAATGAAAAATGGATATGTAGATGCGGATGATGAATCATTATCAAATAACGTAAATGCTGCAAGTAATTATTTTTTTTTAATTAATCAATATTTTAAAAAATATATATTTTAATATTAGAAAGAAAAAATAATATTAATAAATAATTATTTTTTTTTATAATACAAATAGAAAATAAGTTGACCATGATGGAAGCTGCGGCGCAAGCTTATGTCTTTTTCTTAGCTGGATTTGAAACATCATCAACTACAGTTACATTCTGTCTTTATGAATTAGCAAGAAATCAAGATATCCAGAATAAACTCCGTGAAGAAATTCGAATAATGATTGAGAAAAATGGCGATTTGACGTACTGCGCACTAAATGATATGAATTATCTTCATAAAGTGATTTCTGGTTCGTATATATTAATAATAAGATTAACAATATTTTATATTTAAACTTGGCCAATATTTACCAATAATATCAATATTTTAAGAAATTGTTAAAATATTTCTAAAACAATTATCAACGAAAACATGCAAAAATAATCATATAAACTTTATTTTTTTAAAAGAAATTGAGAAAGATCTAAAAAATTTAATGCGTTTTTCACTTTTTTAAATATAATTCTGTGCAGAATAGAGTAAAATTATAATTTACAAAATATTTAAAATTTAATCTATTATTCTGTTGTAAAAAAAAATCTCAAGCAAAATTATACAAAACTTGAAAAAATGTTGAAACTTCGAAGATTGATATCTTATCTTATAGAGATTTCTTGTTGACAAAACATCTTTATAATAAAAATTGTTCTATATATATAATATATATAATATATATATAAT